GCATGTCAACTTATGCTAACTTGTGATATCTTGAAACAATAAGAGACAACATTTGTGATATTTTGAACTTTGTTCTAGAGTTAGATGCTGACAATGCTTTCCCTGTTAAGAGGCTAAACAAATAAACAAAATCTTTTCAGTTGGAGCTAGAAGTCCTAAAGACAAAACGTTATTCTTTATTAGCATGTTCTTTGTGCCCACCTAAAGTAGTATTTGTTCATTGTTTGTTGGCATCCAAATGCCCCCTTTTTTTCCTTTCCCATTTCTTACTGCACCATGAAGAAGAAACGGAAGGAAACCACAGGATTACTAGATAAACTAACATTGTAAAACTTTTTCACAGGTGAAGTATCAACATCTGAAATATTATCCTGGTCAGTTTTGCGTATGACAGTGTCTCTGGACCATAAATTCGCCAATATTGGAGTCTGAATGGCCTGAACCTGCGTATTCCTGCTCTGCAGACTGGCTTATCTTTTGAGTGTCCACTGAAGAGGCAGCTCTTACTGAAGCATGAGTACAGGGTGGAAAAGCGATCTGCATGGCACATAAGGCACAGTTGCATTGATCTGCCTTGATTCAGGCAACATCCGTAAGAGCTCTTTCTCCTGCTCCTTATCTCCTTGGCTCTCTCCAACTATCTGAACCTTTCTTGCAGAAGAGCAAGGGATGGATGAACAATTGCTGGATCAATCTGTCTATCTTCACTCATTCCAGCTAGGACTTAAGATGATTATTTTAATTCATTCATTCCAGCTATTTGATTCTGAATGACTAAAAGTTGGAATACAAAAGCAGCTGAGCTGCAATGTGTAACAAGGCAGAGATATGTGGCCATGTGAATGGGTGAAAGTATGTCCAGGGAAGAAAATGGTCAGGAGCAAAATCCAAAGAGATGTGGAAGGTAGCATTTGGAAGTGTTTCTTTAAGGAGAATAAAAGACTGGGTGTGTTTTGTATAGGCTTGTCACCGAGGGCCGCTGGTATGCCTTTGGAGTCTTTTTGGTGGGGGATTTGGTCGGAGCTTCCCATTATATATAGCTTTGAACATTCTCCTTTTTCATTTGTGGACAGCACAAAGCTTGAACACTGTGAACTCAATTCGGATTCTGATGCTTTTATCAAAGAAAACCCCTTTATGGAGAGGAGAGAAAAGAAGAATCAACCAAAGCCAAGCCCCTCTTTCTCTCTGTACATGTTCTGTTTTGTCTTGAAGCTTTTGGATGGAAATGGCATGGAAGATGAAAGTTAAGATATTAGATTGGATCTGTGGTTGTTGGGGGAGTCAAATTTGAAAAGCAATATATATCCTAAAGCTAGAGGTAGAGGTCTCATTATCCCAAACAAAAAAATAGAACTCTCATGGACTTAAAACAAGTGTTTATTTCTCACAGGTAAATATTTTTTGCTGTTTGTTTTGAATTGTTTCTATTGTGCAGATTTTGGGTGTCAAGAATTTGGTTTATTCTGGGCATTTTGGGTGTTTTGCCAGTGTGATTTCCATTTTGAGGTAAATGTTTTTTGCTTTTTATTTGGAATTCTTTCCCTGGTGCAGATTTTTGGTTTCAAGAGTTAAGTTTATTCTTAGCATTTTCTGTTGATTTTGACAGGAATGGTGGGTATTAGGATATGAGAGGTGGGTAGTGTCGGCAAGAACAAGTTTTAAAACTTGCGGTCATCCTCCAAGAGTCCGATGACTCCACCGCAACTCGCGACCCCCTCCTTCCATGGCTGTGGTACTCTTCTCTTCCCATCGCCTTACCTTTTGTGTTGGGTATGGTTGTAGAAATACTTCTGTTTGCGATAAATTCGTTCTACGTTTTGGTTACACAGGTCGATAAAGAGGGCGCTGGACAAATGGTACTCCGGTGACCACCCCAGTGCAGATCTCGACAAGCTTCTTTCAGATTGTATCACTGCTTTCAAGCACAGTGTGCAGTACAGAAACGACATAAGATTTCTCAAGATTTGGTTCGTTTATGTAATCAACTCTCTTCTCTCCTACGCTGCTTAATCTTGGACTTAGTTATCCCTTTGCATGTAGAAAATTGTTAATTGAATTGGATTTTTTGGGTTTTGGCTTCTCTATCAAATTCAATTACCTTAATAAAGCATCCAGCCTGAAATACTGGTGTTTAATTTGGTTCCTGCTTATTGGAGTCAGATAGCTGGAACTTTATTTTTAGCATTTAAAATTCTAGAATTTTTGTTG